CGATTTTATATTCTTCTCTGCTCGCCACTTTATAAAATCATTGTATGTATTCATATAATCCTCTTTTGACATTTCTGGCAAAAGATTCTCTATAACACAATTTGCCTCGTCTTTAATTGAATCCGGTTTCAACATTTCTGAATCGCTTAAACTCATTTTTAATATTCAAATTTAGATTGCTCTGTTTTACATATAAGATTTTTTTTATTCCATCACAGTTAAATAACAGTTTAGTATCCCGCCAATTTATGTCGACTTTTTAAATTTAAATATGGAACAGCGTAATTGTTGCGGCTTATTCCGCTCAAAGAAGTTTGTGCTAAGTTCACACTGGCTGTTTAGAAACTCACATGGCATCATATTTTTGACGTGACAACGTCTTAAATTAGGTTGCGGCTGGGAGTCACTTATGAAAAAGTGTAACGCTCGGTAACGTTACGATGAGTCTCTCGTGTTAAGTTTAAGTTTACATGTACAATGTTTTAGTAAACAAAATATATTTCTATAGTTAAAATTTGTGCAATTCTTATTTTCATTCAATTCCTTGTTACTATTGTGCAATTTAATTATATTCATATCAATAAATATTCTACCGAGAAAAAGACGTTGTCACGTAAAATCTTCGCCCGTAAAACCGACTTTACAGGCAACCATTTTTTTTTTTTTTACATAAAACTCTTCACACCTGACAGTAGTTCTATTTTTAAAGTTCATTCCGGCCCTTAGGCCGGAAGTAATTTGTATGAGTTTTTCCATCTCTAGGGAGGGAAGCAGCATTTTCCACCCAACAAACAGATCAAAACAACACCACTTTCCGAGAATGAGAAATGAAAAATAATAATCATAATTTATGTAGCTCAATAATGCGCTAGGTTAGCTTTGAGCTTTAGGATATAAAAGAATAGAAAAAATGCAGACAGGAATAAAGGTGTTTCGTTACTTTTGTGACTCGGGATTTGCGATTGCTCAATCTAACTTTTGAGCTTTTATGCAGGGTTGGATTAGTCTATTAGCATGGTCTGTGCGGCACCGGCGGCGGTGGCGGTGTCAATGGCCACGTTCGGGTCAAGAGCCGGGCGCAAACCTTCGGCGTTTTTATTGCCAACTAGTAATACTTGATTTTCTTAATCTATGTACGTAAGTATAGGTGGTCCAAAGGAAGGAAAAAATATTGGATATTTTAATCAATTGCCATAGAAAAATTATTAATGAAAAAAATAACATACACCAAATTAGCCTAGTACTGCAATGGCTATTGTGTTATGGCTTGTTTATGTAAAATTTTCATGAAGAACAAATTTTTCTCCAAATAAATTTTAACATAAAATTTTTTCGTACAAATTTAAAATTACATGGTAGGAAAGGTAGTTACTCTTATGCATTAACTTTAAAAAATATCGTTTCACTGAAAAAAAAAACCTAAAGGGTAAGTCTTTTTAAAAAGACATACAATGCTTTTTCACTCAATTTTTTCAACATAAGATATGGAATGCCATCCAAACCAAAAGCACTATCTTTTCTGGAATATAAAGCTGGGGTCAACTAACGATGTCATACTTAGTTATATGTAATTTTTAATGGAATTTCTTCGAAATGTTTATTTTCCAAGTAAATATTATAAGTTTGACTACTTATTAATCGTAAACTTGTAAACACTAATTAACAGTTATTTTGTTGCTAAGTTCGTGCTTTTTTCATAATTATATCCAACAACAAATATTTAGTATTAATATATACATATATATATGTATATTGCCGACATAGCAAAGGTGAGACAGTTCACTTTGTCTTCAAAACAGATCCCTCAATCGAAAAGTTGTCTTCACTAATTCGCAATATTTTTGGGAGACCTATTCAATGACACCCCATACCATGGAGAAGACATGAAAACAATAACATCCACTTATCGTGTAAACGCGGTTTCTTGTTAACAACAAAAAGGATTGGAGTGTTTACGATTAACTATTTCCAATTGGTAATTGCCTATTTCTGTTGCAATAAAACTGACACCACCTACACTGAACTCGATTCGTATTTTTTTTTTTGAATAGGAACTTATATGAATTAAGTTTTAGACAACACTATTTAAAATTAGTTCAGTTTTTTTAAATGCAATACTTATTGACCTATTGGTGTCGTTTACCTCAACGGATAATAATTGTGTTGTGAATAAATGAAATGATTCAATGTTATCCGTATGCTTGGGCGTCACTCGGGCTGTAGCTAGCGGTCGCCGCCCCGATATGGTCCTCAAACACGGATTATTTATTCCGATAGAGCAGCAAGGTGTGCAAACGCAACTGTGCTGTGATAGCCTTTGATGTGGCAAATACTCACTACGAGAATCTAAAAAATAATTAAATACTTAGACACTCTATGAACGGGTATAAAGCGCGATATAAATAAAATACCTTCTTATTCTTGACTCTGTGGTGCGTGAAAACAGAAGAAAGCGTGCGACAGCGTGAAAATACCAGAAAATAATGTTAAACTCTCCTTTTTACAATCGCCAACCTTTATTCATATCCCACAGGAGCCTGTCATTTTTTCGGGATAAAAATTATTCCATATTTCTATCCAGGTCATACACTATTTACTTAACAAATTGATCCAAATCTATTTTGTAGTTTTTGCGTGATTGAGTTATTAACATACAAAAACACAAACATACAAACTTTCACATTTATAATATTAGTAGGATGTAGTGTGATGTGGCATAAGTAGAATATCATTATTCTCATCAACTATTCAATTAGAAAGCGAATTCAAGCAAAGCAGCCACAGTCTTTTTTCAAAAATGAAATAATAAAATACGCATGTATAGACCATGAATTCTGAAAACAAAACTGCGAAACGTTTTGTTTGGTGCGAGCCGAAGGAATACTTTCTCGGTTATAATAAATGAAACAGACAGTATCACGAAATCAGCTGTAAAATAATGTTTTTGTTAACGAGAGAAAGGTGAGCGACTGGACCCAGTGACCGAGTTGGAGGTTGCTTTCCTTGCACTCATTGTCGTGTTGCCAAACATTTGAGCGAAATGCGAGTCACATTAGTAAGTAGTTTCTATATTACTTTTTATATATAAGGTTGTGGCAGAATATCAGCTACTTCCGATAAAACGGCGGTCTAAGGCTGAGTCACATTCCCTTTTTTGTTCCCTAAAGATTGGTATGTCAGATTTTAAGTTTTTGTATTTGTATTTTTGGAGCAAATAAATACTTATTATTATTATTAAACTTAATCGAGTTAATATATTGTTAATACATTTGTGTTAAGTTAGCTGTATAATGTAAGGGCCGCTAATTAATAGTATTTTATTAAAGGCAGATAGATGTGCAATGAATTAACTGTTAAATAAAGAAGAATTTAATGTGAGAAAGTACATAAACATACTTGTGGGTAGAAAAAATTACAATAAATGTACCTACATAATATAAATTATTACACTGGGGTGAGTAGGAAACACGCATCCTTTATGCTTCTCTGGCTATGTGATTGCCTACTTTTTTGATTAAAGATTATTAAAACTAAATGGTCTTTTTCATTGCTTCATTCTCATTTTCTTCCTTATGGGAGAGCGTCCAGTCAGCCTATTCGCTAACTTTTTTGACATTTACAGTGTGTAACTAAAGAAAAAAATGCATGTCTATCGATGCTTTTCAGAACAAGTATCTTCATCATCATCATCAGCCTATTAATGTCCCCACTGCTGGGGCACATGCCTTCCCTATGGATGGAATTAGGAGATTGGGCCATAACTAACGACTGCAGATGCAGCCGGGGCCAACGGCTTAACGTGCCTTCCGAAGCACGGAGGAACTCGAGATAGAAGATTTTTGATCACCCATCCAATGACCGACCACTGTCAAAGTTGCTTAACTTCAACGATCGCAGCCGAACACGGTACGGAACTAAGACACTTGAGGAACTCGATGGCACAGATGGTTACCTGCGCCATCGAGTTCCTCAAATATCAGTAGCGTTATAATCAAGCAGTAGTGAGTAAATAGCTCGGTAATAATCACTTCCATCAGTCAAAAGCTATTAGCTAATAGGGCTACTGAAAACGTCAAAATATAGATTATTTCGCTTTGTTTTTGCCGTCCTAGTCTTATACAGTTTTGTTACGGTACGTAAGATAAAGATAATAACGAAAAATGTACCTATCAATATAAGGTTAGATACATTTTATTAGGGCAGTTTCACATAACTTAAATTTCTACAGATTATTATTTTGCATTTCAAGGCCACTTGCACCGTAAGTTTTTATTCAAACCGCAGTCTATCTCTAAACCACAAAATGTTGACAAAAATAGTAATACCTTAATTCATTTTAAGAATTTTGGTGCAAGAGGTTCTTACATATATATTTTATATTGTTTTAATTATGATTTTATTTATTTTTTAAGCATTTAACTGCTAGATGTTTAAATCCCGTCCGCTGCCTGGTCCGCGTGGATTGTTTTAATTACTTTAAACTTAACAAATCCTCGAGAGCTGAAAATACACAGCCGCACCTTTAAAAATAACCAATTTTATTAATTGCCGTACTCAGTATCTCAAATTAAGTTTCATCAAGGGTCGCCCTATATTTATACTTATTTAACGTAATACAAATAAACACGTGAAAACATTGAAATTATTTGCTATTGCAATTTTATGAGTGTAGCCGTTGTGCAGCAGTATCTGGTATCCCTCCTCTGCCTAGCTAATCTTTGTTTTTTCATTAAGATGGCGGAGCATGCGTAGTATTGTAAATGTGCTATTAAATTGATTATTACTAAAACAATGTTGTGATTTAACTACACAGCCGTTACTTTCTAGCATGAAATCCTTGTAATATAAATTGCTGTGTTTGCTAAAAAAATAGTTTCATTTTGGACAACACCCATCGAACATACTAGAATAAACTGTTACTTATGTGTACTCACCTTTAACATTTAGATGCGATTCTTTATCAAGATAAGGTACACTTGAATCATTCGTGTTTATCATGAGTGGTAACAAGATCCATCTTCGGTTGCTGTTACTTTATCACTTCAGAGTTCCTCAGTAGCCGCCAAGATGGGCGGTTTCAAAATTGTAGTATCTTTATTATTACTATCAGTTTACTATGGACATGGTCTTCCCAGAGTTGACCCCTTGGTGGATACAGAGGTGGGGCTAATCAGGGGCCTTACGTCTGATCAAGGCTCTTATTCCATGTTTCTGGGCATCCCGTATGCAACAGTGAACGCGTCCAATCCTTTTGGGGTGAGTCAAACATTTTATTTTATTTTACCCCATTTCAATTTTTTTTATAATTGTGCAGGTAAATTTAAAGCCCATAAATTATTGACATACCTGCAAAGATCGTCAAGAGATAGACAAGACAACTCATTGTCATGAGTTAGACAAGTCTAGAAAAAACATCATATTTTTTCTTCGCTACTAGTAAAATATGAGAACATAAATAATACGTGTACTATATATGCTATATATGTAATAAAATTAATAGAAACATATTTGGTTTCCAGCCTTCCATTCCACATTCCCGTTTTGAAGGTACATTTGACGCTTTCGACGACTCGGCGATATGTCCTCAGTATAATGAATTCACCAACGAGGTGGCCGGCACTCTGGACTGTTTGCACCTGAACGTTTTCGTGCCGAGCACCGCAGGCTCTAACAACCGCCGCCCTGTGATGGTTTGGATCTATGGTGGTGGCTTTTCCTATGGGTTTGCAGGAAGATCCGTCTATGGACCGGACTATTTAGTTAGACATGATGTCATATTAGTAACACTAAACTATCGTGTCGGAGCTTACGGTTTTATGTGTCTCGGTACTCCTGAAGTACCAGGCAATCAGGGCCTAAAAGATCAGCTGACTGCATTGCGTTGGATAAAAAAAAATATTGAAGCATTTGGAGGTGATAGTAATAAGATAACGATATTCGGAGAGAGCGCTGGTAGTGTTTCAGTTGATTTGCACTATTTGTATACACAGGAAGATCTCTTCCAGAATGTCATCATGCAGAGTGGCACTTCTTTATCCTACTTCGCTGTAATGGAACCAAATCAAGAGGCCCCTTTGATGTTGGCTCAACAGCTTGGTTTTACAACAAGTAACTTAAATGAAGCCTTAACGTTTTTGGGAACTGTAAATACAGATCTCGTAATTGCAGCAACTCCTCGAATAATGATTTCACTGGTGCCCTGCGTAGAGAAACAATTTGATGGTGTCGAAAGGTTTTTAACAGAATACCCGGTTAATTTAGAAGCGCGAAACAAAGTAAATATACTAATAGGCTTTAATGACCAAGAAATGCTTACCACTTACGTTAATCAATCACCAGAATACTACGCGTCTCTTAATGTATTTCAAGAATCTCTTAGTTCTACTTTTAACTTTGAACCTGAATATCTTAAAAAGATGGTTGATAATGTCCGTCAATTTTATATAGGCGATGTAGAGTTAAGTGAAAGCGTGAAATGGGAATTGATTGACTTCAGTTCGGACTTTATTTTTATCTATCCCACATACAGGGTTATAGAGAAGTACAAGTCCACCGGTAGCAGTTCCATATATTGTTATCTGTTCGCTTATGATGGCGACAGGAACTTTTTCAAGAGACGACTGAACATTACAGAAGGTAGCGCTGCACACGCTGATGAAATAAGTTATTTATTCAATTTTTCTGAGTTCAGTGAAACTCCTACTCCTGAAGATCAGCTTATTATTGACCGTATTACTGCTATGTGGGCTAATTTTGCAAAATACAGGTAAATGTAAGCATGTAACTAAATAATTATTGACTATTTGGTTATCATCATTTTGTGTTGGGCATAGACAAATCCAGTGTTTAATACAACTATAAATAAATGTAGATAATACCCGTTTATGGCTGGTATACATTTTTTTGGGGAAGAATCCACCGACCTGCCTTTTTGGAAACTTGCCGGCTATTTTGAAGTGTACTAATAATTTACATTTGACATAGTGGTATCCCTGCTTTAACAAATATAACTAGTTGAAAGAAAATTTAATTAACGATCAGCATCGATAAATCGAATTAGGGCCAGCATTTATTTTTCTTTTTTGCTTTCAGCAACCCTACTCCCGGAGAAACAGATTTAATTCCAATTCAATGGCCGGCTGTCACAGGAGAGTCACTCAGTTTTTTGAAAATCGATTCAGAACTCGCTGTATACCAAAGGCCATACTATGACAGAATGGCCTTCTGGAATTTATTCTACAGGTTAAACAAGGCTTATGAGAAAGGTTATAGAGAGGATTAAACCGAAAGCGACTAACATTTGACGGATAAAGTACCAATATCATTTTAATACCATTAAAATAAACAATAGATTTTTGTTTAATTTAAAACATTTTGGAAATTTTGGATTGTAAAATAACATATGACACTGTATCAAATGATAATGGTTTTATTCTATCAAAATTTGTTTTATCACGTCATGTTGTAACATAAATATTTCGAAGCATTCCGACAAAGATTTTGTAGAAAAAATTGTTGCATAACATTTGATAATCCATGTTATAAAACGTTATCTCGATAATTTTGTTAAATTGAATAATATGTGTCACTTCTGTGTGGGAGCATCTAACCCATTTATACGATTAAGATAAAGGTACCTTTAAATAAATCTATATTTAGTAGTTTCACTTTTAAATTAGATATATTAAAAAAAAATAGGACAAAATCATTCTCATTGTTCTGATCCGAATGAGTAAGAAACATTGAAGTTGTTACCCATATTAAACCCATACCCGTAACATCATAAAAAGTGCCTGTATACCGAGCCGCGATGATAGAGGTGGTAAGCGCATTCGGCCTGCGATCGTGAAAGTTAAGTAACATTCAAGTTAAGAATCATTATTCTAATACTATATTATTGCATTTCAAATACTCAATATCAAAAATGTTTAATGTTTTATAAAATGGGAAAGCTTTGTTTAAAGATGTCCGAGTTCAACTCATGAAAGCCACGTTCTATTAGAGCATACGTTTCATAAGTTGATTTAACAAAAACTAGTTTTAATATAATGTAACTGGTATGTGTAGCAGCCCTGGGCTCGCGAAACCGCCTTGCCCAGGGTCGGGTGTTGCACTGAAGATGAGCCGTTGAGAGCCAAGAGCAAGGCGAACTTCTCAACAGGTCTACATAATACTCATTACGACAGCGCTGCGCCCGCGCCGCGTTTCATTCGCGCATGCCTCTTAGGTACTTTATTTTACTCTTTTTTTCGCATACTGGCTTCGTTTTCATGTAGTTCGCTTCATTTAATCGATTTAGGGCCACTGGCATCAACATTCTGAATTCAAACTAAGGATTTTTTTACTGTTAAAAGTCAAATAGAGATAGAATAAAGCTCAGCTTTTAATATTTAAGAACCCTTGGATTGATATTTAAAACAGTGTCCCGTCTTGACTAACAGTTGCTTTTTCTAAGTACTTAAGTACCTAACTAATTAATTTTAATGGCGTGAAAATAATAATTTATTGTTTAAATGGCTGTATTTAGAATATAAATACAGTATTCAAAGTTATTTTAGTTTGAAATGAAATAAAGTCCGTTTCTTCTCAATTTTGCAAGGACTCTTCTTATTCTCAATTCAAAAAAAGGACAGGGTATCTCTTATTGAACTTGAGGGAGTCATCTTGTCCGATTTCCTCACTCCACTTTATTTATTAATGTATCTTTACTATAAATTTGTAAATATATATATATAAGTATAACCCAAAGATATATAAGTATCCTTATTACTTATTACATAAAATAGTAAGTCTTCGGTATAAGTTGTTGTCTCACCGCCGATGAGTAAATGACAAACTTACGGCTTTTTTATCGCTCAAGAAACGTACCGTGTAAGCCTTAGGGCGCTTTCAATTTATGCGTTTCTTGACGGCCTACTGCGGTGCTGAAGCGGTGCGTTTGTCGTACAGCGTACGGACGATCCTTTTTTTCATACAAAACGCGCGGTGCGGCAACAATGCGGCGCCGGTACCGCGAACGCTCAACAACAGTACTGTTGCCGCACCGCGCGTTTTGTATAAAAAAGGATCGTCCGTCCGTACGCTGTACGACAAACGCACCGCTTCGGCACCGCAGCAGGCCGTCAAGAAACGCATAAATTGAAAGCGCCCTTAAATTTGGAGATTTAAAACCCCCCGACCTAAATATAATCTTAAAAGTGAAAAATAAAACATGTTGAACCTTTAAATTTATTATAACTACTTAGTAAAAGATAGAGCCAGACATCATCGAGCGAGAAAATAGTCGATAGTTAGGCGCTTCCTCGCCGGCGATGGGACTTCTGCCTTATAAGATGACTCAGTGCGACTGAAGTCTTTAGTCGTGGACAATGGCACAAAACAAATTATTCGTTCTACTAGTGATCGTGATTCAAGCGGTTTTACTTAGTTCATCAGATAGCTTTGTTGTTATAATTTTTATTATTTTTAAAGCATGTAACTGCTTGATGTTTAAATCTAAAGAAAATATAACTAGAAAAAATTCCACGCGGACCAGGCAGCAGACGGGACTCGAACCCGCACCCTTCGCAATCCGGGCGAATGCACTGACCAATTATGCTACCGCGGCCCTCACGGACCGCGTCGAAATTCTTTCTAGCTATTCTTAAGCTGCAAGGCAGCGCCATCTCTTCGCATTATAGGTAAACCCACAATGTCAAATGAATACTTTTACAAGTATTAAACATTTGAAAGAAGAAATAGCAATTATAGTTATAATTTTTTTTTTTATTATTTTTAAAGCATGTAACTGCTTGATGTTTAAATCTAAAGAAAATATAACTAGAAAAAATTCCACGCGGACCAGGCAGCAGACGGGACTCGAACCCGCACCCTTCGCAATCCGGGCGAATGCACTGACCAATTATGCTACCGCGGCCCTCACGGACCGCGTCGAAATTCTTTCTAGCTATTCTTAAGCTGCAAGGCAGCGCCATCTCTTCGCATTATAGGTAAACCCACAATGTCAAATGAATACTTTTACAAGTATTAAACATTTGAAAGAAGAAATAGCAATTATAGTTATAATTTTTATTATTTTTAAAGCATGTAACTGCTTGATGTTTAAATCTTAATACTTGTATTGTATTTAATACTTGTAAAAGTATTCATTTGACATTGTGGGTTTACCTATAATGCGAAGAGATGGCGCTGCCTTGCAGCTTAAGAATAGCTAGAAAGAATTTCGACGCGGTCCGTGAGGGCCGCGGTAGCATAATTGGTCAGTGCATTCGCCCGGATTGCGAAGGGTGCGGGTTCGAGTCCCGTCTGCTGCCTGGTCCGCGTGGAATTTTTTCTAGTTATATTTTCTTTAGATTTAAACATCAAGCAGTTACATGCTTTAAAAATAATAAAAATTATAACTATAATTGCTATTTCTTCTTTCAAATGTTTAATACTTGTAAAAGTATTCATTTGACATTGTGGGTTTACCTATAATGCGAAGAGATGGCGCTGCCTTGCAGCTTAAGAATAGCTAGAAAGAATTTCGACGCGGTCCGTGAGGGCCGCGGTAGCATAATTGGTCAGTGCATTCGCCCGGATTGCGAAGGGTGCGGGTTCGAGTCCCGTCTGCTGCCTGGTCCGCGTGGAATTTTTTCTAGTTATATTTTCTTTAGCTTTGTTGTTTTTATCCGATAATGTTCCGGGATCCTAGCTTAGAATACTACGTGATGCTTTTTCGAAAATTAAGTTTTTTTTTTATATTCCACAATGATTAATCTAAGATTTAACAAAAAATGTAGTCACATCCAGTTATGTATTGTGCTTTTTTTCATAACTTCATTCGTTTAAGTTTTATGTAAGTAGGTAACTACTTAAAATATGGTCCCAAGCGTGAGAGAGAGTGAAGAGTCCCACAACTTCTGGATTCAACTAGCTAAAAAAAGTTAGTTTGAGTTAGAATATCAAATCATATCCATGATTATGAAACAACAAAATGTTGAAACAACCAGTAAGTAAGGTTGCATAAAGTCACTGCGTCTTAAAATCTGCCGGCTTTACTGCAGAAAATAGCCGCTGACATGGTATGCGGGCGTGCTGCGCGGGTTGCTAGGACAATTCAGTGATGATCAACGGCTTAGTCCAAGTTTCTGCGGCACTTGCCGGCGCCACGGGCTGATCAGCAATTGTATGTAACCGCTATAACTAATCAAATAGATTAACGGAACAATAACAAGGCAGTTGATTATCGTCAGTATTCTAACGAACGGTGAGCGACTGGACCCAGTGACCGAGTTGGAGGTTGCTTTCCTTGCACTCATTGTCGTGTTGCCAAACATTTGAGCGAAATGCGAGTCACATTAGTAAGTAGTTTCTATATTACTTTTTATATATAAGGTTGTGGCAGAATATCAGCTACTTCCGATAAAACGGCGGTCTAAGGCTGAGTCACATTCCCTTTTTTGTTCCCTAAAGATTGGTATGTCAGATTTTAAGTTTTTGTATTTGTATTTTTGGAGCAAATAAATACTTATTATTATTATTAAACTTAATCGAGTTAATATATTGTTAATACATTTGTGTTAAGTTAGCTGTATAATGTAAGGGCCGCTAATTAATAGTATTTTATTAAAGGCAGATAGATGTGCAATGAATTAACTGTTAAATAAAGAAGAATTTAATGTGAGAAAGTACATAAACATACTTGTGGGTAGAAAAAATTACAATAAATGTACCTACATAATATAAATTATTACACTGGGGTGAGTAGGAAACACGCATCCTTTATGCTTCTCTGGCTATGTGATTGCCTACTTTTTTGATTAAAGATTATTAAAACTAAATGGTCTTTTTCATTGCTTCATTCTCATTTTCTTCCTTATGGGAGAGCGTCCAGTCAGCCTATTCGCTAACTTTTTTGACATTTACAGTGTGTAACTAAAGAAAAAAATGCATGTCTATCGATGCTTTTCAGAACAAGTATCTTCATCATCATCATCAGCCTATTAATGTCCCCACTGCTGGGGCACATGCCTTCCCTATGGATGGAATTAGGAGATTGGGCCATAACTAACGACTGCAGATGCAGCCGGGGCCAACGGCTTAACGTGCCTTCCAAAACTCGAGATAGAAGATTTTTGATCACCCATCCAATGACCGACCACTGTCAAAGTTGCTTAACTTCAACGATCGCAGCCGAACACGGTACGGAACTAAGACACTTGAGGAACTCGATGGCACAGATGGTTACCTGCGCCATCGAGTTCCTCAAATATCAGTACCGTTATAATCAAGCAGTAGTGAGTAAATAGCTCGGTAATAATCACTTCCATCAGTCAAAAGCTATTAGCTAATAGGGCTACTGAAAACGTCAAAATATAGATTATTTCGCTTTGTTTTTGCCGTCCTAGTCTTATACAGTTTTGTTACGGTACGTAAGATAAAGATAATAACGAAAAATGTACCTATCAATATAAGGTTAGATACATTTTATTAGGGCAGTTTCACATAACTTAAATTTCTACAGATTATTATTTTGCATTTCAAGGCCACTTGCACCGTAAGTTTTTATTCAAACCGCAGTCTATCTCTAAACCACAAAATGTTGACAAAAATAGTAATACCTTAATTCATTTTAAGAATTTTGGTGCAAGAGGTTCTTACATATATATTTTATATTGTTTTAATTACTTTAAACTTAACAAATCCTCGAGAGCTGAAAATACACAGGCGCACCTTTAAAAATAACCAATTTTATTAATTGCCGTACTCAGTATCTCAAATTAAGTTTCATCAAGGGTCGCCCTATATTTATACTTATTTAACGTAATACAAATAAACACGTGAAAACATTGAAATTATTTGCTATTGCAATTTTATGAGTGTAGCCGTTGTGCAGCAGTATCTGGTATCCCTCCTCTGCCTAGCTAATCTTTATTTTTTCATTAAGATGGCGGAGCGTGCGTAGTATTGTAAATGTGCTATTAAATTGATTATTACTAAAACAATGTTGTGATTTAACTACACAGCCGTTACTTTCTAGCATGAAATCCTTGTAATATAAATTGCTGTGTTTGCTAAAAAAATAGTTTCATTTTGGACAACACCCATCGAACATACTAGAATAAACTGTTACTTATGTGTACTCACCTTTAACATTTAGATGCGATTCTTTATCAAGATAAGGTACACTTGAATCATTCGTGTTTATCATGAGTGGTAACAAGATCCATCTTCGGTTGCTGTTACTTTATCACTTCAGAGTTCCTCAGTAGCCGCCAAGATGGGCGGTTTCAAAATTGTAGTATCTTTATTATTACTATCAGTTTACTATGGACATGGTCTTCCCAGAGTTGACCCCTTGGTGGATACAGAGGTGGGGCTAATCAGGGGCCTTACGTCTGATCAAGGCTCTTATTCCATGTTTCTGGGCATCCCGTATGCAACAGTGAACGCGTCCAATCCTTTTGGGGTGAGTCAAACATTTTATTTTATTTTACCCCATTTCAATTTTTTTTATAATTGTGCAGGTAAATTTAAAGCCCATAAATTATTGACATACCTGCAAAGATCGTCAAGAGATAGACAAGACAACTCATTGTCATGAGTTAGACAAGTCTAGAAAAAACATCATATTTTTTCTTCGCTACTAGTAAAATATGAGAACATAAATAATACGTGTACTATATATGCTATATATGTAATAAAATTAATAGAAACATATTTGGTTTCCAGCCTTCCATTCCACATTCCCGTTTTGAAGGTACATTTGACGCTTTCGACGACTCGGCGATATGTCCTCAGTATAATGAATTCACCAACGAGGTGGCCGGCACTCTGGACTGTTTGCACCTGAACGTTTTCGTGCCGAGCACCGCAGGCTCTAACAACCGCCGCCCTGTGATGGTTTGGATCTATGGTGGTGGCTTTTCCTATGGGTTTGCAGGAAGATCCGTCTATGGACCGGACTATTTAGTTAGACATGATGTCATATTAGTAACACTAAACTATCGTGTCGGAGCTTACGGTTTTATGTGTCTCGGTACTCCTGAAGTACCAGGCAATCAGGGCCTAAAAGATCAGCTGACTGCATTGCGTTGGATAAAAAAAAATATTGAAGCATTTGGAGGTGATAGTAATAAGATAACGATATTCGGAGAGAGCGCTGGTAGTGTTTCAGTTGATTTGCACTATTTGTATACACAGGAAAATCTCTTCCAGAATGTCATCATGCAGAGTGGCACTTCTTTATCCTACTTCGCTGTAATGGAACCAAATCAAGAGGCCCCTTTGATGTTGGCTCAACAGCTTGGTTTTACAACAAGTAACTTAAATGAAGCCTTAACGTTTTTGGGAACTGTAAATACAGATCTCGTAATTGCAGCAACTCGTCGAATAATGATTTCACTGGTGCCCTGCGTAGAGGAACAATTTCATGGTGTCGAAAGGTTTTTAACAGAATACCCGGTTAATTTAGAAGCGCGAAACAAAGTAAATATACTAATAGGCTTTAATGACCAAGAAATGCTTACCACTTACGTTAATCAATCACCAGAATACTACGCGTCTCTTAATGTATTTCAAGAATCTCTTAGTTCTACTTTTAACTTTGAACCTGAATATCTTAAAAAGATGGTTGATAATGTCCGTCAATTTTATATAGGCGATGTAGAGTTAAGTGAAAGCGTGAAATGGGAATTGATTGACTTCAGTTCGGACTTTATTTTTATCTATCCCACATACAGGGCCATAGAGAAGTACAAGTCCACCAGTAGCAGTTCCATATATTGTTATCTGTTCGCTTATGATGGCGACAGGAACTTTGTCAAGAGACGACTGAACATTACAGAAGGTAGCGCTGCACACGCTGATGAAATAAGTTATTTATTCGATTTTTCTGAGTTCAGTGAAACTCCTACTCCTGAAGATCAGCTTATTATTGACCGTATTACTGCTATGTGGGCTAATTTTGCAAAATACAGGTAAATGTAAGCATGTAACTAAATAATTATTGACTATTTGGTTATCATTATTTTGTGTTGGGCATAGACAAATCCAGTGTTTAATACAACTATAAATAAATGTAGATAATACCCGTTTATGGCTGGTATACATTTTTTTGGGGAAGAATCCACCGACCTGCCTTTTTGGAAACTTGCCGGCTATTTTGAAGTGTACTAATAATTTACATTTGACATAGTGGTATCCCTGCTTTAACAAATATAACTAGTTGAAAGAAAATTTAATTTATCGATCAGCATCGATAAATCGAATTAGGGCCAGCATTTATTTTTCTTTTTTGCTTTCAGCAACCCTACTCCCGGAGAAACAGATTTAATTCCAATTCAATGGCCGGCTGTCACAGGAGAGTCACTCAGTTTTTTGAAAATCGATTCAGAACTCGCTGTATACCAAAGGCCATACTATGACAGAATGGCCTTCTGGAATTTATTCTACAGGTTAAACAAGGCTTATGAGAAAGGTTATAGAGAGGATTAAACCGAAAGCGACTAACATTTGACGGATAAAGTACCAATATCATTTTAATACCATTAAAATAAACAATAGATTTTTGTTTAATTTAAAACATTTTGGAAATTTTGGATTGTAAAATAACATATGACACTGTATCAAATGATAATGGTTTTATTCTATCAAAATTTGTTTTATCACGTCATGTTGTAACATAAATATTTCGAAGCATTCCGACAAAGATTTTGTAGAAAAAATTGTTGCATAACATTTGATAATCCATGTTATAATACGTTATCTTGATAATTTTGTTAAATTGAATAATATGTGTCACTTCTGTGTGGGAGCATCTAACCCATTTATACGATTAAGATAAAGGTACCTTTAAATAAATCCATATTTAGTAGTTTCACTTTTAAATTAGATATATTAAAAAAAAATAGGACAAAATCATTCTCATTGTTCTCTTTTCTCACCCATATTAAACCCATACCCGAAACATCATAAAAAGTGCCTGTATACCGAGCCGCGATGTTAGAGGTGGTAAGCGCATTCGGCCTGCGATCGTGAAAGTTAAGTAACTTTCGCAATGGTTGGTCATTGGATGGGTGACCAAAAATGTATTATTTCGAGCTCCGTCCGGTTCAGAAGGCACGTTAAGCGGTTGGTCTCAACTGCACCAATCCTCACTGAGCCCGCCTGGTGGGTCACGGCCGATGTCCCTATTCCATCCATAAGGAAAGCCTGTTCCCAAGCAGTGGAGTCATTAATAGACTGATGATGATAATGATACCGGGTCTCGAATTGAACGAGGAACCTGTACAAAATTCTGTGTGCAAGCCATCTAACCGAGGTAGAAGTCAATGTATCAACACGTGTACCAACACCCCTTCAGCAAAGTACCTAAAACTATATGTATACCAACCAAGAAACATTATACAGCACTATAACATCAATAATATGACATGGCTGTTCTAGTGCTGAATAAGGGATGTGACGAATTAATTGCTTCGGACAGTAATAGCTCTTTAGATGGGGTAGAACTGGCCGAGTTGTTCGCCAGGTACCTACGGGACTAAAGCAAGTTATTTATAACTGTAACGAGTTATAGCGTAACTGATAAACAGGCCCGCAAAAAAAAAGTACCCTGCGCGAAAGACTAGACTACCTGGACTTTATGTTTTCGGGGTCGCTGAGTCCAAATATGGTGCCAGAATAGCGAAGTTGGTTCGTTCACTGAACAAAACGCAGGGGAAAAAGAAAACGCATTTTTTGTCGATATTATAAGTTACTAGCTGACCCAGCGAACTTCAGGCTGCCATAAAAACAGAGGCAGGTGGTAGAGGAGAAAATTTAGGGTTGTATGTATTTTTTAATACCACATTATAAAAAAATAAATATTCTATCAATTTCCTAGGATTACATTCCTCCTAACCCATATGAGAACACTACCGTACAATACCCAGTAGTTTGAATTTTGGCACGAAGGCGCATTGTAGGTTTCAGAACACTACATTACAGGTGGACAACTATTATCACTTAAGGATATGAAAAATAGATATTAGTCGATTCTCAGACACACGGAATATGCATATTAAATTTCATAAAAATCGGTCAGGCCGTTTTGGAGGAGTATGGTAACTAACATTGTGACACGAGAATTTTATATATAAGATTTATTAAGTGAGATTGTGAATGTATGCCGCCCCGTACATAATATGTGCTTTGGTTCTATGTGATTTAATATAATAAACAAATAAAATAAATTAGTAAAGGTAAGTAGATGAGTTTACAAAGTTATATCAACGCTATCATAAGTTATTAAGAGTAGCTATATGTCTCGTTCTTTTTTCATTCACTAAGCGTATTTTACAATTTCCAGTTTCCAATTATTACTATCTCGTTCGCTTGAAGTGCTCACTGAATCCGGTCTGGTTGGGCCGTGTATTGCACTTGCCACGTACCCTGACCGAGTGCAAGGCAAACATCTACACGTAACACTCATTATGACAACAAAACAGAAACCTTTCGAGCTGTCTTCGTAGTTTTTTAGTGTTTGGTAGAAGTTATAGATGTTAGGCGTAAAGAAACCTCGGTTTTTAAAATCCAATAAGTGCATAGGGTATACTATTTTATGAGATTTGTTATCTAAGCTTATTGAATTTATTACCCAATACAAGTTATTGGGTAATAAATTTAAACACCTCCTAGGTTTATCATGATCATAAAAAATATAATTGATTAATGTGTGAAAATGTTATCGATGGATTTTTTAGGTGATGATCCATTAAGGGATGAATGAAATCAATAATGTATGAAAAACATAGACTATCTTTTGACTTAAATCAAATTGATTATATAAAAAAATATAATGATTTCAAATTTAATCGTTAAACTTGCTCATAATAATTTTGTTAAAGAATCATTATTCTAATACTATATTATTGCATTTCAAATACTTAATATCAAAAATGTTTAATGTTTTATAAAATGGGAAAGCTTTGTTTAAAGATGTCCGAGTTCAAGTCATGAAAGCCACGTTCTATTAGAGCATACGTTTCATAAGTTGATTTAACAAAAACTAGTTTTAATATAATGTAACTGGTATGTGTAGCAGCCCTGGGCTCGCGAAATCGCCTTGCCCAGGGTCGGGTGTTGCACTGAAGATGAGCCGTTGAGAGCCAAGAGCAAGGCGAACTTCTCAACAAGTCTACATAATACTCATTACGACAGCGCTGCGCCCGCGCCGCGTTTCATTCGCGCATGCCTCTTAGGTACTTTATTTTACTCTTTTTTTCGCATACTGGCTCCGTTTTCATGTAGTTCGCTTCATTTAATCGATTTAGGGCCACTGGCATCAACGTTCTTAATTCAAACTAAGGATTTTTTTACTGTTAAAAGTCAAATAGAGATAGAATAAAGCTCAGCTTTTAAGATTTAAGAACCCTTGGCTTGATATTTAAAACAGTGTCCCGTCTTGACTAACAGTTGCTTTTTCTAAGTAATAATAATTAATTGTTTAAATGGCTGTATTTAGAATATAAATACAGTATTCAAAGTTATTTTAGTTTGAAATGAAATAAAGTCCGTTTCTTCTCAATTTTGCAAGGACTCTTCTTATTCTCAATTCAAAAAAAGGACAGGGTATCTCTTATTGAACTTGAGGGAGTCATCTTGTCCGATTTCCTCACTCCACTTTATTTATTAATGTATCTTTACTATAAATTTGTAAATATATATATATATAAGTATAACCCAAAGATATATAAGTATCCTTATTACTTATTACATAAAATAGTAAGTCTTCGGTATAAGTTGTTGTCTCACCGCCGATGAGTAAATGACAAACTTACGGCTTTTTTATCGCTCAAGAAACGTACCGTGTAAGCCTTAGGGCGCTTTCAATTTATGCGTTTCTTGACGGCCTACTGCGGTGCCGAAGCGGTGCGTTTGTCGTACAGCGTACGGACGATCCTTTTTTTCATACAAAACGCGCGGTGCGGCAACAATGCGGCGCCGGTACCGCGAACGCTCAACAACAGTACTGTTGCCGCACCGCGCGTTTTGTATAAAAAAAGGATCGTCCGTCCGTACGCTGTACGACAAACGCACCGCTTCGGCACCGCAGCAGGCCGTCAAGAAACGCATAAATTGAAAGCGCCCTTAAATTTGGAGATTTAAAACCCCCCGACCTAAATATAATCTTAAAAGTGAAAAATAAAACATGTTGAACCATTAAATTTATTATAACTACTTAGTAAAAGATAGAGCCAGACATCATCGAGCGAGAAAATAGTCGATAGTTAGGCGCTTCCTCGCCGGCGATGGGACTTCTGCCTTATAAGATGACTCAGTGCGACTGAAGTCTTTAGTCGTGGACAATGGCACAAAACAAATTATTCGTTCACTAGTGATCGTGATTCAAGCGGTTTTACTTAGTTCATCAGATAGCTTTGTTGTTTTTATCCGATTATGTTCCGGGATCGTAGCTTAGAATACTACGTGATGCTTTTTCGAAAATTAAGTTTTTTTTTATATTCCACAATGATTAATCTAAGATTTAACAAAAAATGTAGTCACATCCAGTTATGTATTGTGCTTTTTTTCATAACTTCATTCGTTTAAGTTTTATGTAAGTAGGTAACTACTTAAAATATGGTCCCAAGCGTGAGAGAGAGTGAAGAGTCCCACAACTTCTGGATTCAACTAGCTAAAAAAAGTTAGTTTGAGTTAGAATATCAAATCATATCCATGATTATGAAACAACAAAATGTTGAAACAACCAGTAAGTAAGGTTGCATAAAGTCACTGCGTCTTAAAATCTGCCGGCTTTACTGCAGAAAATAGCCGCTGACATGGTATGCGGGCGTGCTGCGCGGGTTGCTAGGACAATTCAGTGATGCTCAACGGCTTAGTCCAAGTTTCTGCGGCACTTGCCGGCGCCACGGGCTGATCAGCAATTGTATGTAACCGCTATAACTAATCAAATAGATTAACGGAACAATAACAAGGCAGTTGATTATCGTCAGTATTCTAACGAACTTAAATTTTCATAAATTGAATGCCTTTTAAGTAGGAAAACGGGTTTTAATGACATTAATTAGATACTAAAACTAGTTTTTGCATTAACTATGTTTTTTTTGCTAAACACATATTTATGTTACCTATATCTTGATTACAATGTGAATCAAGAAGTAGTTCCCACATACATGGGATTTGCAGACGTTTTAATGTTCCTGAGGCATCGCAATAAAACTCAGATGAGAATCCATGAAGGCCGAAGCTGTATGTAATCGAATCGTGATGCGCCCACCGACAATAATATTTTAATTTGAACGAATTAAAATTATCTGCATTTAACTGCTGCCTCATGAAATAATAAGGAAATGTGATGTGCTACACAGCCACTTAAATCAAATGTAAATGAATTGTTTATTAATTAAACAATTAAGAAAAATAAGTAGGTTATTTTGACTGTATATTTTAAATATCAAGTAGTTTTCAAGTTTTTGTTATTTAAATGTAGGAATATATTTTAGCAATGTCTTAATAAAAACTCATTCAGAAGGTAAAATACTTGTTCCTTTGAATTCAATTAATTTTCTATTCAGTTAAATTTATTTTGAATCTTTGCTTTTAAAACTATTATTAACTTATAAATAACATGTTAGCATAAAAAACTAACAGTTTAAAAATATATTCGCGTTACAATATTTTTTATTGGTTACTAACCTCTCAATCGAAAATGTTAATTGTGCAGTACCCTTAGCACGAACCAATATCGAATTCGGATTGTTTGCGAGTCCGAAATGTCATTGTCAAATGTGTACTGAGTTTTAGTTCTCGTTTTGTACTTTATGGCGCTGCTGTTCATGTTTTCATACATTTGACATTGACATTTTGCACTCGCAAACTATTCGAATTCGAATAGGCCGGCTAGGCCGAGAGGCTGT